GACGGTCTCGACCGCGCGTGCCGGGCCGAGATCGGCACCGCGCTGCGGTCTATTCCAAAGACCCTGGACTTTCTCCCGAGCGACGGTCTCAGGGCAGGCTGGCTGGAACAGCTGGGCCCTGAAGGGACCTGGATCGTGGACCGGGCGATCGGGGCGCGGGAGTTCCCACGGGCCGTGGATTGCGACGGCAAGGCCCCCATGCTGGAGGAACGCGCGCGTCGCGCGGGCCAGGCGGCAGGGGGGGGGGCGGGCGTGGAGCTGCACGAGCATGTGCGAGAGGAGATGCGGGCATGGTGCAGCGATGGGGCGGATCAATACGCACCCCTGGCTGCAACGGGCACGTTCTCGCGGCTGGCGTTTCACGCTTGGGGCGAAGCGCATTCGGCCCAGAAGCTGCTCGGCAATTCAATGACAAAGGAGGGCAGCGATATCGCGATATCTGACATGCAGCTGGTAACGGGCAAGCAGCCTCCAAGTCTGGCCAGGTTTCTGACTGCGCCCAGCGCGTTCCGCACCGCAGCGGGGGCGCGCCAGCTGGAAGGCGAGATCGCGTTCGCCCAAAACTATGGTTGGGCCCCCCCAGCGTTTCAACAGTCGGGCGGGGCCCCTGGCGCGGGAAAGCCGACGTTGGAGCGTCGCATTCAATGCGCTCGGAGAGGAATCCAAGGAGAGCGAGGATCGGCGCATTCGCGCCCGATCTTTCCTGGAAGGGCTCGGGGGCGAGAACAGCTCGCGTCTGCTGCTCGGCGGCTTGCCGGCGGACTTGGCGGCGGAGCATTACTCGCGGGCCGCAACTGGGGGCGCTGACGACCCCGCCGCCGCCGCCGCCCATGCCAGGGCCGCCTCGTTCCTCGCAAGGCTGAACACGTTGTTCATCGATGGGGCGACGTTGGGCACCCCCTGCAGTTTCATTGTCATTGCCCTCGAGCTTTTGCGGCAGATGCCCAGGTGCCCATGCCGCAACAGCGCGCGCATTGTAGGCGTCGGCGATTGGATCACGGAGCCCCGGGCCAGGGAAACCGCCCGCGCGGCCGAGCCACGGGCGCAGGTGATCGCGGCGAACGCGAAGGAGAACATGAAGCTGCATCGGCCAGATCATTATTGGTCGCATGCTTGTGCGGCGCCCCGTTTGCCTTCTTCTTCGTCTGCAACAGACGCGGGCGCAACTGAGTCTGCGTCAGAGGCCGAGGCATGTTTGATGCGCATCTGCAAGGGGGGCAGGCCTTCCTAAGCGGCAGGCCATCGCCCAGCTGCGGCGCATTTTGAAGCGCGCCGAGATGCATCGTCGCGATGGGGGCGCCGCGCGGCAGGCTTGGGCCCCGCGGTGCAGCGGAGTGGCCTGAGAGTGCCAGCGGCCGGCGGCCGGTGGAGCTCTTTTTCGTGTGGAAGACGTCCACGGGCAACGTGGGGCGGCGATTGCGCCGTTTCTCCGAGCACCATTGCCCCGACAGGGCTCGAATGCTCGACGTGCCCGCGGAGGACTGCGCTCTCGCGGGCGCGGCGTCCCCCGGCAGTTCCCGCGCGCGTGGCTGGAGCAGCGCGAGCGGGGCGAGCCTGGCAGGCGCCGGCGCAGGCGCGTGCTCCAGCAACACGAGCGCTCAATTTGAAAGACCGCAGCAGCGAGGAGGGCCGAGAGACCGACAAGGGAATTACGAGGGAGCCTCGGCCAAGACGTCGGTCAGAGGTAGTTGGGCTTCGGTCGCAAGCGAGCAGCTGCCATCGACGCCATGGCGGCCGCTTCCCCGAGCCAGCGCATTCGCCTTCTCGCGGAGGCCGCCCCCGATCTCGCTGCGGCGGCGCAGGAGGCGGCCCAGGCGAGCGTCGCAGATCCAGCCCGCCCGTCTGCAACAGTCGTCGGCTCTGTCGCCAAGCGGGCGGCCAGGGCGCGAGGGCGCAATCTTGGAGGAGCGAAGGCCGCCGCCAAGGCCAGGGGTGCGCGGGAGAGGAAAGTCTCGCGCAGTGCCACGCCAGGCTCTGCGGGCCGTGACGCTTACCTGGCCCCCGCGCGCCCCTTTCCTGGCATCATGCTATATATAAATATATACATATATATATACATGTATACAGTATACACTCCTATATAGGTGCATGCATATATGCATAACTATAGGTATGTATGTGTATGTATGTGTGTATGCGTGCATGTATGTATGTGTGTACGTATGCTTGTATATACGCACGCATGTATGTTTGTATGTATGTTTGCATGTATGTGTGTATGTATCTATGTACGTATGTATGTACGTATGTAAGGATGTGTGTGCGACTATACATGCATCTAGACATTTGTGTATACACATATATGTATGTATATATTTGTGTGTATATATATGTATGTGTGTATATATATATACACAAGTGGCGCGTGTGTGCCCAGGTTCATACAACAAACTGAAAGGGCGTTTGAAGCCGGACAACACCATGACTGCAGGATCGGAGATGGAGAAAGGGAAGCTGGGGCGGCGCTGGGGCGGCGCCGCCAGGGCGTGCCTAAGAAAAGGGGAAGAGGCAGGAGGTGAACGCAACAAGATCTAATATCGAGGTCGCAATCGAGCGCAAGTGGGGTTGCCACACCTTGCGATGTGTGCACCAGGGCCCCCCGGGAAACGTGCCCCCCGGGAAACGTCAGGAGGCCCGACTTGGATACCGGAAAAGGCTCCAGGAGGCCCCGGGATTGTGAGTGTTGTGTGTGTGTGATGTGTGCTCTGTGTTGTGCGTGTTTCCTGCGCGTTGTAGGTGTTGTGTGTGTGTGTTATGTTTGTCTAGCGTGTGATGTGTTGGGTGTGATTTGTGTCTTTGTGTGTGCATGTAGTTCCGAGGCCCCAGGAGGCCCCAGGCGGCCTCAGGAGGCCCCAGAAGACCCCAGGAGGCTCCAGAAGACCCCAGGAGGCTCCAGGAGGCCCCAAGAGGCTCCAGGAGGCCGCAGGAGGCCCCAGGAGGTTCCAGGAGACCCCCAGGAGGCTCCGATGCGGGGTCTGGGGTACCAGAAAGTACAAAAAGCCCCAGGAGGTTCCAGGAGGTTCCCAAGAGGTTCCCAAGCGGGGTCTGGGGTACCAGAAGGTACGTCGGGGCTCGATTTTGGGAGGATGTCTTAGGCGAAATCGTCATTCTTTCTGAATCGGGGTTAAAATCATTGAAATTACAATGTGCTTTTTGGAGGTTTTATGTTAGAATGTTGAAATTCCCCATGTGTTTTTGGACCCTGACGTCACGATCTGCGTTAGGGGTGACACCGATTTTCAGAATTTCGAGGATGTCCCTAGCAAAACGGGCCAGAAAAATCGCGGACGCGGCGCCCCGCGTACGCACTAATCGGCTCTGAGCTCTACTCCCTCGGAGAGGTGCGTGTGATTATATATATATGTGTGTGTGTGTATGTATAAATATATATACATACATACATACATACATATATATATATATACATATATATATATATGCACAGGCCCGCGGTCCCCAAACATGTGTCCCCATTTGGGGGACTGGGAAGTTCCGGGGGTTTTGCCGAGGCGCCGGGGGCCCCCTAAGATCGCCCGAAGACGGCCCCAGGATCACCAAAGATGGCGCTTCCAGATTGCGGGAACGACCAATGACGGCCAAGACGGCCAAGGCGGCCAGAATTAGCCCCTGACTATCCAAGAGGCCTCCAAGACGCCCCCAGAAACCTCCTAGATAAGATGCCTCCAAAGGAGTCCCGCGAGGCACAACTTGTTAATGATTTTCCAAAGGTTTTGGAAGGATTTCCAAGTTCTCGCCTTTTCAGTGTTCTGACGCTCCACGACGACCCAAGATGTCATATTGCCCGCTCCAAGACAGCCCCAGGGGCTTCGAAGACGGCCCCAAGACGGCCCAAGGGGGCCCCAAGACGGCGCCAGAGGCGCACAGGACGGCCCGAAAGGGCCCTATGGAGCTCCTCCGAAGGTCCCAGTGGCGCAGCCCGCATGCGTCCGCCACACCCGGTACAGCGCTTTGTGGCCCCATGGGGAGCTCCACCGAAGGCCCCAGTGGCGCACCCCGCATGCGTCTCCCACACCAAGTACACCGATCGTGGCCACATAGGGAGCTCCACCGAAGGTTCCACTGGCGCACCCCGCATGAGTCCCTCCCACCCAATACAGCCTTTCGTGGCCCCATAGGGAGCTCCACCGAAGGTCTCAATTGCGCAGCCCGCATGCGTCTCACCCACCGAGTACTTCGCTTTGTGGCCTTATAGGGAGCTCCGACGAAGGTCCAGTGGCGCAGCCCGCATGCGTCTCCCCCACCAGTGCAGCGCTTCGTGGCCCCATAGGGAGCTCCACCGAAGGTTCCAGTGGCGCATGCGTCTCCCCCACCCAGTACATTGTTTTGTGGCCCTACAGGGGGGGCTCCACCGAACGTTCCAGTGGCGCAGTCCGCATGCGTCGCTCCCCGAAGACGATGCTTACAACTGCGGTATTCACAACTGCATATGGTTAGGTCCTTCGCCAGGCTAATTTCAATGTGCCCCTGCTAATTTTTGCACATCAGACCATCATTAAGGCCCCCGTCACCACCGAAGAAAGATCCCAGGAAGCCTTCGAGGGGCCCAAATCATCGAGCACCTAAAGGAAGTTGATGTTGTGGTTTCCGCAATTCCCCTTCTATACGCTTCCGAGGCTTGCGCAGGGACTCCAAGAAGGTCGTTAGATGCACAAGGCGCTTCAACAGTTGAGATTCCATGCGTTAGCCTGTCGAACCTAGCTAGAACTTGAGCGCGCGCGAAGCGCGCGCGATGGTTCTAGTTTTAAATAGGGCTGACCCACAGTTCGACACCGTGGGCCAACCTTCTGTTTCAACAGTGGCTGGTCGTGTGCGGAGGTTTCCCGCGACCAGCCTTAAAACCGCTGCTGGCCGTGGTGAGTTGTCCCACGGCTGGTTCTGTCTGCTTTGCACATTGTAACTGTTTTGGCAGGGCCTTCGACAATGATCGCCTTCCTCTTTCTTTCTATCTTGCTGTTATATACTATGGTACTTAATTTTGACGCGGCTCGGCGTTCGGCTCTTCCCCTCCTGACTTACAAGGAAGATCACAGTGGGCAAAGGCGAGCGTTGCAAGTGTTTTGCTTACGTCCGCCGAGGACTGGCTCAAGACAGCGCTGTCCTACTTTCGTGCCATCGACGTACTATCGCACTGGAGGAATGGATTAAAGAAGCGTCCACATCCCCTTCGATGCCGCATCCTCTCATATCATACATTATTTTTCGTTTTTCGTCCTGCTCTTCAGTATGGCATGATTTGTGGGATACCGTGACACGTTTACGACGTCATCCTAAGCAGGGTCTCGGCTTGCATCCTCCTGACCCTCGCTTTCCACTGACTCCCAGACATATGCTGTGGCATCTTCTGGCCATAACTTCAAGAACGCCGTGGCGACGGCACGCTTCTTGGAGGCCCCAAAAGAGAAATACGAACTTGAAGTCTAAGCATAGATCTTCGGTCCTCCTCCTGCTCTCGCGTGCTATTGCGCGTTATATGGTTCAGCGGTCCTGGCGACGGCGGCGAGCTGGAGGTGTTGAGATGTTGGCACCCGCGTGGCTTGGCGACCCATGTTTTGAAGTGATTAGGAGAGACTTTTCTTACTCCAGACCTCCGATGTCGTGATTTGCTTGCTCAGATCAGCGATTGTCCCTCAAGTTTCGACGTCCGGGGGTAACTCTCGGAACCCAGGCCCATCAACAACTACCCAGTGCGAAACGTTGGCCCTGGAGAAAGGGTCGAGAGTTCTTCGGGGCATGCATCGAATACAGACAACGATGTCGGAGGGCTGGGCCTTCCCGTTATCCTTCTGCGCCTCATTTTGACCTTCTCTTTCTCCGCCCAGGATTGGTTCTTGCAGCGCCGGTTCAGTATGGAACGCAACGTGGCCATCAAGAAGGTTCTCGATGACAACAACTTTACGGGCTTGTCCATCAACAACGCTTCCACGCCCGACGAGAAGAAGGTGAGCGACGTAGAAAATGAGGTATGCTGCGCGGGCGCGCGTAAGCTTCCTGCGAAAGCGAAGTCGCGCATGAGCGCGTCCAGGGTTTCATTGCATCCGCCAGGCGTGTGGTAAAGATGGGTTGACCCAAGTAGTCCAAGTAACCCAAGTAGCCCAGGTAGAGGGTTTGACCCGAGTAGCCCAAGTAGCTCGAGACATCCTCACAACTCGAACGCCGCTGCGGTTCCCCCTTGCGTGTCATCGGCCGTTGCTCCACCTTTCGCCCAGCCAGTTCCTCCGTTGCTCGGGCTGCTCGGTTGCTGGCCCGATACCGCCACGCGTCGGAAGGATAGCCACCCTAGAAGCCGTTCCCAATGCTCGACATGTGATTCCGATAGCGGCCATTCTTGTATGTTTCAATCAAAGATCAGACGGGACTTGGAGGCCTTGGCGACCAGGATTCGAAGAACAGCAAACGCCATGAACACGAATTTCAGGAGCTCCTCGCAGATGTCTTGGATCGGCGCTGGACAGGGGCGGCATCGGAGGCGCCGCCAGGGGCCCCCCAGCGCCGATCGAGAAATCCGCGCGAAGCTCCGACAGTTTATGTGAATACCAGTTGTTTCTCCCACGGAGGAGGAGGAGGAGGAGGAGGAGGAGGAGGAGGAGGAGGAGGAGCAGGAGGAGGAGGAGCAGGAGGAGGAGCAGGAGGAGGAGGAGGAGGAGGGGGCGCGCGCGGACGAGGGCTTGCCGAGAAATCTTGCGCGGAACTCCCGGGCAGGACATCGGCCCGAAGAGGGCGACGGCGTGGGGGCAGCGCCGCCCCTCCAGCCGGAGTCGAAGGGGGGGGGGGGGCCGCGCGCTCGGCCCGCGCGGCGTGGGGCCGGGCGGCGCCAGCGCGGAGGGCGCCGAGATCGTGCCCCCCGACCACTGTCAAGCAGTGGCGAAGCGTCCTGGCTCGCCAATAGCCTATAGCCCTACCAAACACTGTTCTGAAAACCTTGTGTGGTTTCTTCACGAAGTGTTCTTGGAGCATTGCTGGCTGGGGCTGTCTTGTTTTAGCACATCGGGTTCATGTTCTAAGAACCTTGTTTTGGTCCTTAGGACATTTTTGGGTTCTAAGAATATTTCGTGGTAGGACTATAGGAATGCAGGGACGGTCGGTCCCTGCTCAACACTGGCCTTCTTAGATTTCAGCGATGTTCTCCGGGCCGTAGTGCCATGAGCGGCGCCATCGTCCAAAACTATTCGCTTCAATGCTCGCCCCCCCCCCACCTTGCTCCCCCTCCCCCAAAAGCACAAGAAACAAGAGCATCCGTCCTTCTCCTCCTCCTCCTTCTCGTTCTCCTGCTCCATGCTCTTCTTCTTGCGCCTGACTCCATGTTCCCAGTCGCTCAGGTGATGTGGTCCGACTTGGTGCAGGGCAAGCCGGAGCTCGAGGACTCCCTGAGCACTAACGCGAAGCAGATGAAGGCTCGGCGGTCTCGTCCGGATCGTCACGACCCCCATGGACGCTGGCCCCTGTCGGAAGCATCGTCTCGCGAGAGGGGGGGGGCAAGGGAAGCAGGAGGAGCAGGAAGAGGAGCGAAGTAGAGAAGGAGGATTAGCGAGGAGAAGGAAGAGCAAGAGGAAGAGCAGCACCAGCAGAACCAGGAGGTGGGAAGGAGGAGGAGAACGAGGAGGAGGAGGAGGAGGAGGAGGAGGAGGAGGAGGAGGGCGATGAGGACGACGACGAGGACGAGGATGGGGGGATGGGCCAGGAGGAGGAGGAGAGGGACAGGGAGGAGGAGGAGGAGGACCAGAGCAGACCCAGGATGCATCCGCGATGCCGTGCGCCCCCCCGTGCCGAGCCCCCCCCCTCCACGGGCTCCTTCCGTGCAGGCGCTCCCTCCCCGCTGCTGCGGGGGGCCCGCTCCGAACGGCGGGCGCCCCGCAGGCCTGCCGCGCCGGCGAGAGCTGCCCGTGACGCGGACTCGCCCCGCAGCCTTCGAGCTGCGGGGGGCCTTGGCATCGCTCGGACGTGTGCATTTTTCCTCTGGCGAGGGCCGTCGGGGAGTATCCTCGATCATTTGGCGAAAAAGCCACGCGCGAGACCGAAAAACACACGGGGAATAGACGTCCGAGCGATGGCGAGGGGCGCGAAGGGTTAAGTCGGGCCTGTCCCGCTGCAGGAGGGATATTCAAGAACAGTCAAAAAAATGTCTGGGGATTATTTGTTTTGGGTATGTTTGAACATGTTTTGGGCATTGTTTGAGTATTATGTAATTTTTCGTCGAAGGCCCCCCTGCAGCGGGGACAGGCCCGACTTAAGCGAAGGGGCACGCGGTGCGAGCTGAGCACGAAGCTGGCCTGCCACATCGGCGAGAGCCACATTTGGAACGGAATCGCCCTGCATCCTTCGAGCTACGAGGGGCGCGAAGGGGCACGCGGTGCAAGTTGAGCACGAAGCTGGCCTGCCAGAAGGTGTCCCACGGAGACTGTAATGGCCTCTTGGAGCTTGGAGTCGTCAAGGACGCTTTGTGGAGCTGACGTGCCCTCTGGGGGAGGTGCCTGCTGGCCTGCCAGAAGGTGTCCCACGGAGATTTCCTATCCTGCCTTGGCCCCAGGGTCCACTGAAGCCCTGGGACATCATGGGACGTTGACAGGGCAACGATTAAAATACGTGTTTGAGTCTTTGATTAAGTTTTCTCGTGTGTACTGATATGGGGCAGTAAGAAATGCAGCGCGTGTCTACGGCGAGCCCCCATCTGAACAGGAACCGTCCTTCATCCACGCCCTTTGTCCCTGTAATTGTTGTAGGCGTCTTCGGCCGTGGTCATAAGATATCGGGGGGGACATCCAAACGAGCGCCCACATTTTGGAAAGGAGCTGCCCTCGACCCGTGCAGCTCACAGCTTGAAGCTTATGGCCACAAGTGTGAGAACGTTTTGGGTGATATCGCCATGTTAAAGGTGACGTGCACGTCTGTGTTGTTGGATCTTTGCAGTACGAATGACTGTGTGCGGTGCTGAGTCGAGAGCCACATCTTTGACACGCCCTGCCCTTCATGGTTGTAGCAGTCGTGACATTACAATCTGGATGCGCGCGGCGGTGGGGCGATGGCCACATTATGAACACCGTTCGCCATTCACCCGTATAGCCTTTGGAAGCTTGTGTGACGAATGTTCGCGGCGCGAAGGCGAGGGCTGCATGTTAAATCAACACGTTCGCCCCTGGCAGTTGCTTCGGCAAACGGGTGGAAGGTCTTTGTCAGAACGCCCAGCTCGCCCTACCAACATGCCTGCTGGCGCGATGAGGGGGGTTTAAGATTTGCAGCAGGGATGGATGGCGGAGGACACGCTACAGCAGTTCAGCTCTTGCACATCTTAAGACCCATTTGAAGTTTATGTTCCCCCTTCGTTATCTGATTCGCCCTCCTCCTTGTTACCCCTTCCCTCCCCATCCTTTCCTCCTCCTTCCCATCCCCCTCCCGCCTTTTCCTCTCCCCCCGCGTCCCCCCCCCCCCCTTTCAGCCTCCTCCCCTCTTCCCCCCCCCCACGTCTCGTCCCCATCCCCCTTCTCCTCCGCCCTCCTCTTCCTCACCCCCCTCCCCCGAGGAGGAGGCGCGGGAGGACAAGACGGGGCGGGCCTAATGCGCCCGCGCACGATGGCAGGGACGGCGCCGCCAGGGCGGGGGGGGGGGAGGCGGGAGGGGGCCCAGGACCGAGGGGGGGCGGCGATGGCCCACGGGCGAGCCCGCCCTCCACAGGCGGAAATGTACACGACCATGTTCAAGGACGTGGCCGGGGAGCCAGGGATGGAGGAGGGGGAGAGGAGGAGGAGGAGGAGGAGGAGGAGGAGGAGGAGGAGGAGGAGGAGGAGGAGGAGGAGGAGAACGTACCATGTTTGACTGCAACCGAGCCGTTCAACGACGGGGAAACTGAAGAAATCTGTAAGAACGTACTCATGGCCCAACCATGTAACATCAGAGCAGGCAGACCACCTGACTACGCCCGAGTCCGGAGCTACAGGACAGACATCATCCCGACCTACGTCAAGGACAAGACTGCAGCTCACAGCAAGATGCCACCAGTCGGCTTCCAGAAGCCGACCCAAACGCGCGCAACCCAGGAACACTGCGACCTATAGGAAGACTTGTTCCCGTCGTCCTGCGCTTCTACAGCGGCCATCAACGAGAAGGGGACTTGCAGAAGATGATGGAAAACGTCTTAACACGGACGGCAACGCAGATGTACACCTTCTCGATCGACATCGTCAACGGCTAAAACAGGCGATTCGACAAAATGGAAGATCATCGACTTCTGGATCATGCAACGAGAAAGTGGCCAGAACCATGGGGGAGGGCGAGGGAGGGAGGAGGGGGAGGGAGAGGCGAGGGAGGGAGGAGGGAGGGAGGGGAGGGAGGGAGGGGGAGGGGGAGGGAGGGAGGGAGAGGCGAGGGAGGAGGAGGGAGGAGGAGGGGCGGGAAAGTGGCCAGAACCATGGCGGGCCCACCGTGCGGGACCTGGAGCGCAGCAAGGACCCGCGACATCCCAGGCGTGAAGTGCCAGCCACGACCCTCGGAACAGGAGAGCAACCATCTCGACATCGGGAAAGTGCGCCAGTGGATCTCCCTGAATACACTAAAGGGGTAGGGGGGTTCCAGACCCCCCCCCCTCCTCCTTCAAGGGGGGGGGTCCGGACCCCCCCCCCCCCCCCTCTGGGGGGGGGGGGGGGTCCCGAACACCCCCCCCCCCATCCCTCCCTTGAAGGGGGGGGGGGGTCCGGATCCCCCCTTCCCCTTCTTGGCGCTGGAAAGGGGGGGGGTTCGGACCCCCCTCCCCCTCGTGTAGGGAGTACGGAATTGGGAGTAGGGAGTGGTGAGTAGTGAGTAGTGAGTTAGTGCGTAGTGAGTAGTGAGTATTGGGTAGTGAGAAGTAGTGAGTAGTGAGTAGTGAGTATGAGTAGTGGGTAGTGAGTGGCGAGTAGGGAGTAGGGAGTAGGGAGTGGGGAGTAGTGAGTAGTGAACAGTTAGTAATTAGTGTGTACTGATAAGTGAGTAGTGAGTGGCGAGTAGTGAGTTGTGAGTAGTGAGTAGCGAGTAGCGAGTAGTGAGTACTGAGTAGGGAGTAGGGAGAAATGAGTACCGGGTAGTGAGTAGTGGGTAGTGAGTAATGGGTGGCGAGTAGTGATTAGTGAGTAGTGAGTTGTGGGTAGTGCGTAGTGCGTAGTGAGTAGTGAGTAATGAGTAGTGAGTAGTGAGTAGTGAGTAGCGAGTAGTGAGTAGTGAGTAGTGAATAGTGAGTAGTGAGTAGTGAGTACTGAGTAGTACGTAGTGCGTAGTGAGTAGTGAGTAGTGGGTAGTGATGAATAGTGAATAGAAAGTAGTGGGTGGTGGCAGTGGGTAGTGAGTAGCGAGCAGTGAGTAGTGAGTAGCGAGTAGAGTGTAGTCAGTAGTGAGTAGTGGGTAGTGAATAGAAAGTAACGAGTAGTGAGTAGCGAGTAGTGAGTAGTGCGTAGTGAGTGCTGAGTAGGGAGTAGGGACTAGGGAGTAGTGAGCAGTGAGTAGTAAGAAGTGGGTAGCGAATAGTGGGTAGTGAGTAGTGACTAGTGGCTAGTGAGTTGTGACTAGTGACTGGAGACTACGTAGTGACTAGTGAGTAGGGGAGTAGTGAGTAGTGAATAGTGAGTAGCGGGGAGTAAGTAGTGAGTATCGAGTAGCGAGTATGGGAGTAGCGAGTAGCGAGTACTGAGTACTGTGTAGTCAGTATTGTGTAGGGCGTAGGGAGTAGCGAGTAGTGAGTAGTGGGTAGTGAGTAGTGATTTGTGGGCAATGAGTAGTTAGTAGTGATTAGTGAGTAGTGGATAGTGGGTAGTGGGTAACGAGTAGTGATTATTGAGTAGTGAATAGGGAGTAGTGAGTAGTGCTTAGTGAGTAGTGAGTATTGAGTAGTGGGTAGTGAGGAGTGAGTAGTGAGTAGGGAGGAGGGAGTAGTGAGTAGGGAGTAGGGAGTAGCGAGTAGTGGGTGGTGGGTAGAGTAGTGGAGTAGTGGGTAGTGAGTCGTGAGTAGCGAATAGCGAGTAGTGAGTAGGGGGTAGTGAGTAGGGGGCTGGGGTTAGTGGTTAGGGGGTAGGGGGCCCCTCGTGACTCCCTTTGGGGCTGGGGTTAGTGGTTAGGGTTCGGATTCGGGGTTTGGGTTCGGGTGGGACTAGGGGTAGGGGGTGGCGGGGGTCGGGTTCCGGCGTCAGGGGGCGGCGTGGCGAAAGGGGGGGAGGGGGCGGACCACCCCCTTTTTTGAAAGGGGGGAGGGGGGGGGGTCCCCGACGACGGGTCGTGGAAAGGGGAGGGGGGGGGGGGGGCGACGACGGATCGGGGAAGGGGGGGGGGAGGGGGGGGTTGCCCGACGACGGATCGGGGAAGGGGGGGAGGGGGGGGGTCGCCCCCCCCCCCCACCCCCCCCCCCCCCCCCTTGGGGAGATCCAGCGGCGCACCCTCCGACATCGGCAACCAGCTCCTGCGCGCCGCGACTTTCACGTTGTACGTCGCATGCGCACTTGGACTACCCGCCACCATGGAGCATGCATCCGGAGACCGTGCGCGACAGTAGGCAGCTGGTTGCTACCTGAGCTGCAACATTTATCAAGCCGACCCCGCGTGCGCATGGCATCCTTCGACCTGTGCATGCTCGAGCAAAAAGAGCCGACACACCAATGAGCCTTGTCGCAGTTAGAGTACGAGGGCTACTCGCGCGCATACTTGCGGAACCCAACCGATACAGATACAATCGCGGGCATGGGGCCCACCCGCCACTACTTGGGCGGAACGAGGATAGGACATGGCGCAGTGCCGCCACCAGGATATACCCCACGGAGCTCAACAAGAGACTCGCTGCCTCGCCATCCGAGGCCATACGACACAGATGGGCTACATTGCCAGCTGCCGACGAGTGGATCATCGAGGACAGCTATGCGGCCTTTTGCGCACCACTCGACCCGCACTTCGAATCCAAGCGCAGCGCGGACTGCATGGGCCGCCAACTCCTCGCGTAACCACGCTGCCTGCGCCTCTTTCGACGCGGAGGCGCGGGGGCGCCTCCTCGACCGCGTCAACTTCGAGAGCAGCGTCGCCATGCCCGTGATTCCCGATCCGACTTATTGGGAGTTACTAGCCAAGTACGTTGCCCACGCAACTCGGGGCATGTCTTTTTATAGGCCCGACTTCAATCAACAATCGAGCTAGGTGTACCAGGGCATCTCGCACGCCCGGCTCGAAAGGAGGCCGGCCCGCCGGCCGGCCGCCGCCGAGGCGAACCAAATTCAGGGAGAAACAGCCCGACCATAACCGCCAAACACACATCAGCACCGTCTTCCCCTAGTACAAAGACGCAGACACATGTGTCAAGGAACCAGTTGCCGCTGCAGAATCCGCCACCAGAGCATCGCACTTCGCCATGGGGCAGCTTGCGACGGGGCCAGCAGTCGACCTAGCACGGCATCGACAACTCGTCGTCAGAATTGAACAATGCATCGCTGCCAGTAACTACAATGTCTTCAACCTCATTCCGAAGATTACTCTGTCGCAGACGTAGCCGACGTCATCTGGTCATCGCGCGCGCCCGAGTATCGTCGACGCGCCCGCCTTCATCGACGACTCGCGGTGGCGAGCGTCGGCAGTGGGGATGTTATCATGGACGTCGTCATCGGCGGCGCCGCCGCCCCCCGCGCCATGAGTTTTGCCGAACAAGTTGCGGGTGGGAGGGCGGGATGTTTGCGCGAGCAGTGGAGATGGCGACTTCAAGTTCCGCAGAGCGGATTGCGCCACATAGGTTCTCTTTTCTTAAAGGAAGAGAATTGACCCCCCCCCCGGGAATAATAAATCGGCTTTTCGTTTTGCAATTTCCATTGGGTTCTGCCCCGTCGCCCATCCTAAATGCGAGTTCAGACCGCCCCGGCCGGGCCGGCGTCGCCCCCCCCGCCCGCCCGCCGCCCTAGTAGAGATAATTATGCGCTCTCGTTTATCTGAAACCGCGAATTTCCAAAAATCCCGTGCCCCCCCCAAAAAAAAAAACGCCGCACTCGCGCGCGTCGTCGCGCGCGCATGCCGGAATCCTTCGAAGACCACAGGGCCCCGCGAGGATTTCAAAATCGAGCGATCAGCACAAATGGGTAACAACAGATGGCTTCGCAACGAGGGTGCTCAAAACAAACTTGCGCGCGCGCCCGTGCGAATTGCAAAAAAAAACACGCGTTGTTCTCATAAGCTCCAGAACGTGATGCCAAACGGGCTTCGCGCGCGCATGTCGACATCGTTCGAGCGCCCTTGCGCGCGTGCCGTCGCGAGAATCCTTTGCAACAAACGGGGCGAAATGCGCGCGGGTGCGTCGTCGCGCGCGCATGCCGAAATGCGTCAAGAGCTTCAGGTGTCGCAGCGGTTTCGACCCCGAGTTTTCAAGCAAGTTCTAAGATCACATGGTTTCGCAACATCAGTCGTCAAAACAGCGTGCGCTCGCGCTCTTGTGAGTTCTTCCGACAACATTTTAGGTTCTTCAGCATGTTTATGGAATTATGCCAAACGAGGCTCTGGCGCTGCATGCCGAAATCATTCGCGCGCCCTTGCGCGCGTGCTGGTGCGTGCGCGGTGGTGGTGGTGGTGGTGGTGGTGGGGGGGGGGCGCGATCCGTGTCAAATTGTTCCACGCTGGCCGCTCTCGCGCGTCGGCCGCGCGCGCATGTCGAATTCTTTCCGCAACCTTCATCGCCGACGCGAAGACGCCGTCATCGTCGTCGGCGCGATCAG